TGGGATAAAGGTGTGTGTCACCACACTCAGCACCTTTTTTTTTTTTTTTTCTAAATTATAGATTATTATGTTAACAAAGCATATTATATATTTCCAAGTATTTGGAGATATTGTATGTGTGTTACTAAGGATTGAATTTAGTGCCAATCTACCACTGAGCTACATCTCCAGCCTCCTTTTTTTTTTTTTTTTTTTGAGACAGGATCTCCCTAAATTGCTGAGGCTGGTCTGGAATTTGGAATGGTTTTCCCTTAGCCTCCTGATTCCTGGAATTACAGACATTCACCACCATGCCTAGCTTAGAGATTTTTGAGACATCTTTATTATTATTTTCTAATTGAAATCAATTGTTATCATCATTTATATTATTTAAATCCTTTTAAATTCACTGATTATTATTCTTCCCAATTGTTTCCAAATAGCTAAAATGCTTTAAACATTTTTTAGAACATATTCTTTTTTTTTGTACTGGGGATTGAGTGAACTTTACCATATAACTACATCCCAACCTCTTTTTTTTTTTTTTTTTTAACTTTGAGACAGGTGTTCTTGCTATGTTGCTTAGGGCCTTGATAAATTGCTGAGGCTGGCTTTGAACTTGTAATCCTCTTGCTTCAGCCTCTGGAGCCACAGGGATTACAGGCATACACCAATTTTCCTAACTTATCTATCTATCTATTTATTTATTAAAATAATGACTTTATTTATTTATTTTTATGTGGTGTTGAGATTCAAACATGTGCGTGTTGGGCAAGCACTCTATCATTAAGCCACAACCCCAGCCCTCCTTTTATTTTTTATTGTGAGACAGGGAGTTGCTTAGTTGCCCAGGCTAACCTCAAACTTGAAATCCTCCTACCTTGGTCTTCCAAGTAGCTGAACTACAGGTATATACCACTGGGCTGGCAACTCTTCAGTTGTTACACATTTTTTCAGTGGAGTCTTGCTTATGGTTAGGTTTTTCTTGGATATGGATCCATATTCAGCTCGAGGTTTAACGGTAACCTTTGTAGATCTTCTCTAAGATTTTTTTTTTCCTTTCTTCTTCTAAGTGTGTGAAAACATTTTCATACACTTTGCACAGATTTTTAGTTGTTTCAGGTGGGAGCATGAAAATCTTGCCCGTTACTCTCTGTTGGCCAGAAGTGGAAGTCCCTTGGAAAAGTTTTTAGACAGGAAGGTGAGATAATTAGGTATGCATCCTGGCCACTCTGTAGACTGCATTTTAAGGGACAAAGTAGAGGAAATAATTAGAGGGCATTTGGGCTAGTTAACATACAAGATGATGCAGGATGGTCACAGGTGATGATATTACAGAGGTGGAGAACAATTTGAGAAATATTTTGGAGGAAGAATATAGTGCAGATTTTCTAAAAAGATGGATCATGTCTCACGTACATCTGAATCACTTATAGCATTTGATAAAATAAAGATTTTTATGCTCTATTTTCTGATCTGGAGTTTTAAGGATGAAGTTTAGAAATATGCATTTTAAATACATAACTAGGTTAAGGAACACTAAGGTTTTAGGAGAATCTTATGTAAAGTATGATCTTCATTCTACATTGGAATGACTTGAAGTACCTAATTAAAATGAAAATTTATGTGTTCATGTCCAGACCTGCTGAATCTCGATATTTGGGGATGTTGGCTTCAGGAATTTCTTAGCCTACTAAAGTTTGATAACAAACATACAAAAGTATCTCACAGACTTGCTCTTTTTTTCTGAACTTTACAACAGCCCGGTGAGGTTGTAGGCAGATATTGTCTGCCATTTTGCTGATGAAAAAAACAAAACAAAACAAAACAAAGATAGACAAAGTGGCTTGTTCATTGATGACAGAATCACATGTCCATCTCCTCCCACCATATCCTGATACTTTCTACTTTCTGTTGACCAGAAATAGACTTATTTCTAAAAATCTGTAGACATCATCCAAAACAGAACCTGTGATTCTAAACAATTCAGGGGGCCAGGACAGTGGGCTCTGTGATCATAATTTGTACTTAATAAAACTTTGGTTCAGCTTTTTATAGCAAGTAACTGTGAAATGTTGTCTAGGAAAGGTGTTTCTGTTTTAACATGATGTTGATGCTTTTTACAGTTGACTGGATTTTCTTTGAAGTTCTGGGGCTTGAACCTAGGGCCTTACATAGACTAGGCAAGGCAAGCACTGTACCACTTAGCTACACCCCCTGCCCTTTTAAAATTTTATTTTGAGACAGGTCTAGCTAAAAATTTTCCAGGCTGGTATTGAACTTTTGATTGTCCTGATTCAGCCTCCTGAGTAGGTAGGATTACAGGATTCCACTATCTTACCTGGTTTAAATATCTCTCAATTTCTTTTAAAATCATAGGGTAGGGGACTGGGGACTAGCTCATTGGTAGTCACTTGCCTAGTAATGTGTAAAGCCATGGATTCAATCCCTAGCACATTAAAAAAAAAAAAAAAAAAAAAGAAAGAAAGAAAAAGAAAAAACCTGTTAAGGCAATAGCATAGTATACAAATTTAGTGTATTTTCATCTATAACAACCAGAATTAGACACTAAATATGAGTCTATAGTATAACCTTTCTTCCCCCCACCCCAATCTCATAAGAAAATACCACAAAATTTTTGTAGTGTCTCATAATTTAGGTTACCTTTAGCTTGGACTTTATAGTTTTATAGTATATGGTGTGGTTCATAACTTTGCTATATGACCAGAACTGATATTTTCTAGTGAGATTTTCTGTACACTTTTGAAGTGATCCATGTGTGCCATGAATCTGAGATCCTGTAATCTAGTTAGCACAGTGGTACCAGTGTTAGACTGAAAGTAGTAGGAAAAGTAATTCTTTTTTAGTGAAGATTGGTTTTTAGATCTGCTGTTGAATGGTTGAATAGTCAGTGAATTTTATTAGTGAAAACAAGCAAAGCTCTGTCTGTAGCAAGGAATAAATAAAATAAGAAGGCTTTAGGAAGAGGACATAAGTAGTTCATTTTGTTTTGTATATTTTAAAAAGATAAAATAGCTAGATTTTTTAAATTTCTAGAACAAAGTTACTATGCTTAAATAATGCAAATGAAAAATTGTTATAATTTGTCATAACATAAAGTAGTTTATCTGTCCCAGAAAACACATAGTATTTTTGTGGAAAGCTTAAGTTTGAAATTTATAGTGTATGAAACGAAGAGTGTAATGTAGGTGCTATGAGTTTTGGCTCTCATAGCATAAAAATTTTTTAAAATTGTTAAATTTATGATTACTTAGATTTGGGTTGTTTGTTTGTTTGTTTATTTGATACCTGGGATTAAACTCAGGGGCAGTGGACCACCGAACTACATTCCCAGCCCTAGTTTGTATTTTTTATTTAGAGACAGGGTCTCACTGAGCTTCTGAGCACTTCACTTTTGCTGAGGCTGGTTTTGAACTTGGAGATCCTCCTGCCTCAGCCTCCTGAGCTGGGGCTACAGGTGTGCAAGCCACTGCCCCTCTTGGGTTAATTTTTTATGGTGTTAGTTAAGGTTAGTTTTTAACATTTGAAAACAATTTTGTCAAGAATTATCTACAAACAACGATATCTGCATTTTCCTCATGGATTTTTACTCTTTGTTTTTATCATATAGGAATTTGGAGCAGCACACCTGGTGAATCATTTTAAAATGTCTTTCAAAGGCTTCTTTTGATGTATATGAATGAGCATTTTTCAGTCACTCATTTTTTCTAGTTTTAAGCTGATTAAAATAACTTAAGGTTTTGTTATTATTGTGTTTTGTTTTTGAGATGGAGTCATTCTGTGTTACCCAGGATGGCCCCTAGCTTCTGGGCTCAACCATCTTCCTGCCTTAGGTTCCTGAGTAGCTGGGCCTAAATGAAAGTATATAAGGCTTTTCCTCATCATTGTAGTCACATGAATATATTTCTCAGATTTGTAATCAGCCAAATTTGTTTTTATGAAGTTTATTTTAAAGGTATGTTTGTATAGTTACATTTCTGTTTAGTATTAGGGTGCTGGGTTTTGAACCCAAAGTCTTGAATATAAGTTGAGCTACACCCATAACTCCTTAATTGATTTTAAATAACATTTAATTTCTGCTTATTTCTAAAATACTTTGACATATTAGTCCTACAAAAGGTATAGTCTAAGGTGAAAGGAGTACATTAAAAGATATACAGCTGGGCATGGTGATTCTCACTTTTAATCCTAGTGACCAGAGAAGGCTGAGGAAGGAGGATCATGAGTTCAAGGCCCTAAGCCAAGACCCTGTTTCAAAAGAAAAAATGAACAGGGCAGGAGTTGTAGCTCAGTGGTAGAGAGCCACTCCTGGGTTCAGTCCCTGGTACTGAAAAAATAAAAGATGTCACGTATTTAGTTAGTTCTTAGATATTATAATAAAACAAAAAAAGTGCTTTATTTTAATGTCAGAGTTGTTACAGCCTTAGAAAATGAAGTATTTCTACACTGATACTCAATGAGGATCTCTCTGCAGGAGTTTTAATTTAGAATTAAATTTAGAAAACTTGCTTATGGGTACTCTTGTTAGAGTCTGTAAACAAGTCAAGATGGCGCCTGGCAAAATGCCAGAGGGAGTGGTTTGTGAAGTAACGCCAGCGAGCCATTAAGTGTGGAGATTCCTTATTGGTTGACTGCTGTATCGAGTTTATGTTAATTAAGATCAACTGTGTGGAATGTATATATACCGCTCCGGTCCTACAATAAATGGCTCCCACTCCTGCTGCATCAATGTACACAAGTTGCTAGTCACCCCCCCCCCCTGGTTATTTTGCTGCAGCCGGACTGCGGCATACTCTGAGAAGAATTTGTGAGAATGTGTTAACAAATCATCTTACTCTGTTGAAAATATCACATATTTCATGGCTAAATATAGATAATTATTTATGAAATTTATTAGAAAATGAAATGTCCTATGTAAGTATTTAGAAATATTATCACTTTTATCCACACATCTGTAAACAGTAACACAGCCATAGTGACATTGTGGTTTCCCTTCACAGATACCAAGTTGTGCTAGTACAACCATATAAATAATTCATACCTGAAGTCTCAATGTAACATGGACATTAACAGTGATGACAGATAAATACAGACGCTTGGGATTCAAATACTAGGCGAAACACTTTTAAAAAAGGTAAGAACAAAATGTAATCTTAATTAAGGCCAGGTGGGATCGAGTTAGAAGTAATTGAAGTCTCTTTTTCAGTGAATCAGGCTTTTATGAAATATGCCCTCAGGATCCTATCTGTCTTAATATTGGTAGAAGTCAGCTGTAAGTATCAGTCCTTCTGTAAAAATAACAATTGCACTTACACTCTTCTGGTATGATGTTCTTCAGGATGATGTTCTTGAAGTGAACTCTCTTCAACAAGGGTGGTAATATTGTTGACTAGAACTTGATAGAGTGCTAGGACAGGCACATCCATGTATGTTTAAAAACACATTTTAATTTGTAGGTTACTTTTGCCTCTGATGGGTGCTACCACCATCACACACTCTAGAATGTAATGTTTATGAAAGGTTTCAGGGTCGAGTACAGAGGAGTTGTCGTTTTGAGTCTTTGGTATAAGAAGAGTGAATTTTAAAGTTAGTAGTACTTCATGTTTTCACTGTGCTTTCCCTCCTCATGTTAATTTAGAAGATTTTAAAAAAATCTTTTTATTTAAAAAAAAGTTTCTTTTTTTTTTTTTGGTGTGTGTGTGTGTGTTTTTTTTTTGGTACTGGGGATTGAACCCAGGAGTACTTGACCACTGAGCTGTATCCCTAGCCCATTTTATTTTTTATTTTGAAAGAGTATTTCACCAAGTTAATTAGGGTCTCACTAAATTGCTAAGGCTGGCCTCATTCTTGCAATCTTTTTGCCTCAGCTCCCTTGCTGGGAGTAGTGGCGTGTACTACCGTGCCTGGCTAGAAAAATTTTTTTAACATAGTAGTGAACTATTAAATTCAGCCAGTTTTCCTTTTTTGTGCTTTTCCAAGACTCTACAAGGCAAAACTGGAAGAAGTTACATCTGTATATAATAAATATTAACTGTATTTCCCCCTGTTTTTTTAATAAAAAGCATAAAAAATTTATTGAGTAAAATGGAAGGAATGCTCCAAGGTGGGTGGAACTGGCCACCTCCAAGAGAAGAAACATTTAATCCTATTCCATTCTAAAACAGTAATATAATTTTACTAGGCAGTAACCCTACTTTACAATTATTGATAATTGCATCAGTCTCTAAATTATAATTCTTCACTGAAAATAGTATCACTTTTAGAATATGTAGTTTTATGCTTATCATAAAGTGACACTGTATCATAAACATCTGCCGGTCTTTTTCCTGGTACTCTTTGTCTGCAGATGGGCACTCATAATAACTCATTTAGCCAGATTATATCTTCTGAAAAGGATATCATAACACATTAGTAAAGCTGTAATTAACAGACTGTTCCAAGAATTGGAATGATTTAGGTTAATTAAATATCTGGCTAACTGGGTACTCAGCCCAGAAAATCCTTATTATTTTTGTCCTTGTTGAAAATCTACATGTCAAAAATAGTAGAAATTTCTTTTAATAAATGAGTATCTAGCACTTTAATAAATATGAAGATTTTTCTGTAGGTGTAGAAGACTTGGTTGATTCTTTGGTATGTATAACCTAAATAGTTTTTATGCTCAGTTGCCAAGTTTTTTTATATTTGGAACAAAATCCTCTAGAATAAGAGTAAGAGATTATAAATTCTGATATGAGAAGTCCTATCAAGGACAATCCTTAGGTCACCTAAAAAAAAAAAAAAAAAAACCCGCCTTAGAGCAGAACTTTATAACAAGAACCAAGTCATATTTTGATTCAAACTAAGTTGTATGGATTTGGTGTATTTTGAAGGTTTGTTTGTTTTTGTTGATTTCTAAAAATCCTAGTTTCTTAGTAACCTGGCTTCAGTTATCAAGAAGCCCCGAAGATGTCATATAAAGAGATTCATTACCTGCTGTGTCCTCTCATCATAGGAGTAAATCTATTAGCATAAATTAATTTCCTTCTTTAATTCTTTTTTTATTATTTTATTTTAAAGAAAGGAGTTTAAGAGTTTCTAGTATTCTCCATGGCTGAAGCTGAGAGTCTGAAACCCTGATGCTTAAGCTCTATTCTAGATCATAGCTTCAACTCCTTCAGGATATATGGAAAAGAGATAATATTTCCACAATGATAGATCTTTGGTTGTACAGGTAAGTTATTTAGTTTTGCAGTAGTGAAGACAACTTTAGTCTGATTTCTTTTCTTTCTTTTCTTTCTTTTTTTTTGAGGGGACAGACTATTTTCATACTGTGTAGAAGACTAAAGTCTGATGAGGTATTTATAGGAGGGAAATGCTATAGGGATGAAATATTTTTCCACTCTTTCCATCAGTATTTTGGAATGTCTAGACCAATAAACCAAGGATCTTTGAGCCAGGCATTGTGGTTCACAACTGTAATCCCAACTACTCTGGAGGCTGAGGCAGGAGGATTGTAAGTTAGAGGCCACCCAAAGCAACTAACTTATCAAGACCCTGTCTCAAAAAAAAAAAAAAAAAATTAAACTGGTGATATAGCTTGGTAGTAAAGTATGCCCTGGGTTCAATCCCCAGTACTGGGGCAAGAAGGCACAAACATCCTATCTTTTGGCACCCTAGATATTTCAATAACATTGTGAAAATCTTTGACTTCTGTTTCTCCTCAGTTAATTTTTCAAGTGTATACTCACTTCGAACTATTTGTCGTGTATCTGTCTCTTAATGGCAGAGAAGGAAGAATTTTCTTTATGTAAGACAGTATATATCAGAGTTTCTAGACTTTACAGAGGTGAATATTAAGAACTTTTTAAGTTGAAGTGTATAAATAGGTCCCCAGGTATCACTCTTCTACCTTATAGTGGTAATTTCCCAGCTAAGATAATTTGTCTTCAAGGAATTGTATGACGAGCTCAGCGTGGAACACTGCCCACCCCCCCCCCCCCCCCCCCCCCGCCCCCGCCCCAATACTTAGTATTGAACCCAGGGGCACTCTACACTGAGCGACATCCCTATCCCTATTTATTTTTACTTTGAGATACGTCTTGCCAAGTTGCCCAGCCTTGTCTTGAACTTGCAGTCTTTCTTTCTCAGCCTCTCCCTAGTTGCTGTGATTATAGGTGCGCATTACCTTACCTGGCAAGCATAGCCTGAACATTATTAAAACAGTTACATTCTAGTCAGGTAGAAAAATAATCATATTGGTGACACTTCCCCCAACTCTCATGTTTTTTTTCCTTTTACTTTGTGTGTGTGTGTATATATATATATATATTTTTTAGTTATAGTTGGACACAATACCTTCATTTTATTTATTTATTTTTATATGGTGCTGAGGATCAAACCCAGCACCTCGCACATGCTAGGCAAGCACTCTACCGCTGAGCTACAACCCCAGCTCTTACTTTGGTTTTAATACATGAACGTATACCAGTATCATGATCAGATACCTAAAAATTGTTCACTTACTAAAATATTATAATAATATATACAACAATCAGAACATTGGTGTTAACAGAGGATTGCCAACTCCTCGATTCCCAAAATAAATGGTAACAACTTTAGTGATAATAGTAGTAGGAATGAATAGTTACAGGCAGTGTTTTTGAAATAGCTTTTTGAGATTTCTCTCTTTTAAGTAAATCTAATAGCTGGAGCAGTATTTCATTATATTGGCCTTTCTTATTAAAAGTTATTATTCCTTTTAATTCTTACTGATGAGTTTAAGTATGATCACAGGGGCTGGAAATTATGATTTTAAACAGCTGGTAATGTTTCAGAATATCACAGTCAGATTTGGGCATAATTGGCTCAAGTTTGTGGTTCAGTGTTAAATAAATGAGTTTTGTGGAATTAGGTGTAGGATTTGGAGATTAATATGAATAAAATAGCCCTCCTTAAATAGGCCCTTTGATAGAATGAAAACTGAATAGGACGGAGAAGACTGGTTAGAGAGTCTGTTTAATTCTAGTGATTGATTATTCTCTTACCTGTCTTCCAGAAAGTGCCACTGTTGATTAATTGGTGGGTAACTGAAAAATCTTCAGTCTATTAGATTATTTTTTTTCCATGATTTTCATGGATTGGATTTTCCCCATATGAATGTGTTAACTTAATAATTTCCCTTAATTTTAAAACCAGGGTGATTAAATATCTATTTCCAAATGGGTACTGGCTAAGGTTTTCATTGTCTATCTTCTCCTTAGCCACTTAATATTTGGCAGGAATATAAATTCGTGATTCAGTCCTCTTTACTGGATTCTTCAGTAACTGTGTTATGCAGCTAAAATGAGGAAAACAACACTGAGTAATGTAGACATTTTTGGTCCCTTTTTGCTTATTGAATTTTGTATTCAGTTTATCAGATAATTACAGAAAATGTGTACCTTTAAATATACTTATCCAAAAGAGAAAAGATATGAAGGAAAATGCATAGAGCAGAAGGAAAAAAAAAATTAGAGGGAAGATTAGTTATATTTTTATTAAAGTCTACTCTTCATAATTGTAACAATTTATTGCCTTAAGTGTATGTAATGTGTTAATTGAAGTTACAAGATTTAAAAAAAATTTTTTTTTAGTTATACATGGGCACAATATCTTTATTTTGTTTATTTATTTTTATATGGTGTTGAGGATTAAACCCAGTGCATCACATATGTGAGACCAGCGCTCTGTCACTGAGCCATAATCCCAGCCCAAGTTAGAAGATTTTTACAGACTTCTCTTTAATGCTTCTGTAGCCAGAGAGATCATGGCTTTATTTATAAATGTTTTTGAATAATTAGTGTCCAGTAAAGAATTAAGGGGTATATTATAAGTAAATAATTTGGTTTGAAACTTAATGGATTATATTATTAGAATACTGTCTTGAGTTTAGTAATCTCATCCTCTAATATATACATGAATCATCTGGGAATCTGATTCAGTGGTAGGTTTGGGGCGGGACCTCACAGTCCCACATTTTCTGAGAATCAAACCCATGGTCTCCAGCATTCTAGACAAGTATTTTACTGTTGAACTATACTTCTAAGCCCCCATTCTGCATTTTTAGTAAGTTTGTAAGAGTTTCCGTTAATGGTGCTTTTCAGGTTACATTTGAATATTTTTTCAGTATTTATTTGTTTTTGCAGTAATGGGCATTTTTACCACTGAAGCACATCTCAGTCCTTGTAATTTTTTCTTTTTTCTTTTCTTCTTGAGTTGCCCAGACTGTTCTCATGCCTCAGCCTTCTGAGTAGCTGGAATTACAGGTGTGTGCCATCATGTTCAGTTCAGGTTATGCCGCAGTCTGGCTGGGCACAAATGCCGCAGTCTGGCTGGGCACACAATCACGAGCCACCACACAGCTTGTAGATTCAAACAGCAACTCTTTATTCCCGAACTCACACCAGCCGTCTACAATCACGTTCTGGGGAAATCCGCGTTCTCTGCCCAAATCCCCGTCCTCTGCCCAAATTCACGTTCTCTGCCCAAATTCACCTCCACTGGGCTTCTGTCTCCCAAAATATACTGTCTGAATCCTGTGAGAACTCAAGGGGAACTCAGGCAGCAGGATACGCCCTATTCCCAGGAGGAATAATCTTAAACCTTAAACCTGGAACCTAAACTGGGAACACCCTAAACACGATTATCTTAAAACCGGGAACACCCTAATCTGCCTTGGTCCTTGAGCAAGGTCACCTACATTCAATGTCGCTGCAACATGTCAGCAACATGGGGTACGCTGGCAAGGAAATTGTCATACCTACTTGGCTAATGGCTCCCAGAAAGGTTACATTTGGAGTTGTAAGAGTTTACCAAAAGACCCTTGTTTTAAATAGGTTCTCTTTAAATGCCAACCTTAAGAACCTTAAAACTTGGACTTCATTGTAGTTACTGAATGGAATAAAAAAATTTTAGGGAGCCGAAGACGCAAAAAGAAGTGTAAATCTTTTACAGTAATGAACGTTTCAATATTATCATCATGGAAATGGTGAAGAGATAATATAGGCCCTCATTATAGGTATTTTGTAATGATACACAGAAACACACACTGTATAAGTAATTTTGAGTACTAATAATAATAGTTTTATTTCATCCAAAATACAAACTAGTCTCTTTTTGGGAAGTTGTACTGCAGAACAGATATTGTTTCTATTCAGTTTGGTGTGGAAAGAAAGGAGAAGTTAGGAAGTCCTATTAATGGAGTCATTTAAGAGATTTCTGCACCTTTAATTGGCCTCGCATTTTAAAAGTAAAAATTAACATTCTTTGTGTATGTTTGTAAAATATTACTATTGTCAATATTAGTTTTGAACCATAAATTATAATCAAGTTTACATTGAAGTTATTTGCATTAGGTTTTTTTCAATAAAAATTACTGTTAGTTTTTATTTGTAAATGTATATGGGTACTTAATATTTAATCTTCAAATTTGATAGCTTTCGATTTGGGTTACGCGAAATAAATTTCTTTTACTATTTTTTAGTGTATGTTCTTTTAAAATATCATTTGAAGTTTAACTTAAATTTATTGTAATTATAAGCAGAAATTTATGGTGTATCACAAATCTCTGTAAGGAATTTCCAAACAGTAAAAGTTTACTATAAGAAACTTTCTAATTTCTGGTTGATGTGCCCCATTCTTACTGTTCACTTGATTACTACAAAAGTATCTAGAACAAATTACTATGCTTTAGTTCCAGGGTTGGTTTTATGAGTCTTGTAAGCTTTTTAAAATATGTTAATTAAAAATTTGAAAGTATGCCATACTCTAAAACAAAACTAAAATTCAACCAACATAACATAGTTTAACAGGCCACTTTTCTCAAAATTCATTTGAAGGCATCCAGAAACAGGGATACAGAACCCTTTTTTTCTTACATCTCTGTGTCAGCAGGAAGAGACAATATCCTTTTGAAGTTTCTTTTTTGTATATGGTACATGTTGCAGTGTCTTCTGTAATTCTGACCTTTCCATTGTTAGATTCTTCTAGTTGAGACAAAGAAGAGATTGTGTTTGATTTGCCAAGGGAAATGGCTAGGAGGGCATTTGGAGGGTTATACTTGAGGGAGGCTGTAGAAGGGTGGCAAAAGGCAGGAGCAAACTCTGGAACTTTGTATTATGGCCACGATTGGCCTCTTTCTCTAACCATCCTGCAGTTAAGTTACAAAGTATCTTATGAAAGACTGAAGAGTAGGTAATGGAGACATGAGATGTTAACAGTTCCTTTATTGTGCTCAATCGGGGAGCCTTTGGAAGCTATCATTAAATCTTTCAGAGTTTATCCATATGGATCATCAGGGCTTTTATTCATTATTCCTCACATTGATCTCTTGGAAACATCAAGCATCAGAAAACTTGTTTCATGTCATAAACCATGCGTTAAAACTGACATACTCTATATACACAGGAGTTCAAAGAGGGAAAGGGTAGGGTTATGTGTATACTTCTGATGTCTTAAATGTAAATATTTGCTCAGAGGCTTCTTTCCCATTTCCTTCTATGCTTTTAGAATACTTCCTTTCACTTTCTGGTTTATGGCTTCTCTTCTGGAGACTAGGAAGACTTTGTTTTATTTTGGTGTTAGCCAGTACAAACTAAGATTGTGATTTCTTTCCATCTATTTAATTACCAAAAAAACCTCTACTACAACCAAAATTTTTTGGATACAAATAGATTCTTATGGAGGAATTTGACCTGAAATGTATGTTAGTAAGAGCAAATTATAAAGAACAGTCTGCCTTTCTATCTCCTAAGAATGTTTTGAGAGAATCTTAGAAATGATTGAAATAGTTTTTGCAAGATAGCTGTTATATAAATTTAAGATTATTATTTTAGTAACCAAGATGAAATCTCATCTTTTAAGATAGATTTTTTTGTTTCTGGATATTTGGTGCTTGTCTGAGAGAAATAAATGGTGAGGCAGGCTAAACGCATGGTCTCTAGAGCCCTGCAGTGCCACTTACTAGCTGTATGACTTTGAGCAGATTACTCAAATGGTGCTTCAGTCTCCTCATTTGTAGATTAGGAGTGATAGAAGCACCTGAGTTCTTGTGAGTTAGTGTGTGTTAAACAAATAAGATGATTCCTGGCACATATTAATTGTTCCATATAATTGTTAGCTGTAATTCATATCATTGGAAATAAAAGAACTTTTGTCTCATAATTTATTAATGTTGGCTATACTTACAATAAAAAATTATGGCTTTATAAACTTTTGTTTTAGGTATATTAACTATTACCTTTTTCTCATTATTTTGTTTACGTTTTTGAAGGTTTCCCAATGAGTGGATCATGATGACCGTATTGTAGGGACTTGCCATAGTATGGCTGCTTCCCGATCTACTCGTGTTACAAGATCAACAGTGGGGTTAAACGGCTTGGATGAATCTTTTTGTGGTAGAACATTAAGGAATCGTAGCATTGCTCACCCTGAAGAAATCTCTTCTCATTCCCAAGTGCGATCAAGATCACCAAAGAAGAGACCAGAGCCTGTACAAATTCAGAAAGGAAACAATAATGGAAGAACCACTGATTTAAAACAGCAAAGTACTCGAGAATCATGGGTAAGCCCTAGGAAAAGAGGACTTTCTTCTTCAGAAAAGGATAACATAGAAAGGCAGGCCATAGAAAATTGTGAGAGAAGGCAAACAGAACCTGTATCACCAGTTTTAAAAAGAATTAAGCGTTGTCTTAGATCAGAAGCACCCAACAGTTCAGAAGAAGATTCACCTATAAAATCAGACAAGGAGTCAGTAGAACAGAGGAGTACAGTAGTGGACAATGATGCAGATTTTCAAGGGACTAAACGAGCTTGTCGATGTCTTATACTGGATGATTGTGAGAAAGGGGAAATTAAAAAGGTGAATCTCAATGAGGAAGGGCCACTTAATTCTACAGTAGTTGAAGAAATCACAGGCTATTTGGCTGTCAATGGTGTTGATGACAGTGATTCAGCTGTTATAAACTGTGATGACTGTCAACCCGATGGGAACACTAAACAAAATAGCACTGGTTCCTATGTGTTGCAGGAAAAATCATTAGCTGAAAATGGGGATTCAGAAACCAAAACATCAATGTTCCTTGATAGTAGGAAGGAGGACAGTTATATAGACCATAACGTGCCTTGCACAAATTCAGAAGTGCAGGTCAAGTTGGAGGACCACAAAATATTAACTACCTGCCTGCCTGTGGAACATGTTAATCAGCTGACTACTGAGCCAGCTTCAGGCCCCATTTCTGAAATTCAGTCATTTTTAAGGGATTCTGAGGAGGAAGTAGATGTGGTGGGAGATAGCAGTGCCTCAAAAGAGCAGTGTAATGAAAACACCAGTAACATCCTGGACACAAATCTTGAGAGTATGCCAGTCTCTGGAGAACTAGATTCATCTTCTGTTCTAGATTGTGTTTCATCTCAGATGATGTCTTTATCAGAGCCTCAAGAACATCGCTATACCCTGCGAACTTCACCACGAAGGGCGGTCCCTACCAGAGGTAGTCCCACTAAAAATGGTTCTCCTTGCAGAGAAAATGGACAATTTGAGGAGAATAATCATAGTTCCAATGAAACAAATGCACCTGTTAGTGATAATGTAAGTGAGTCTCCCACAAATCCTGATGAAATTTCTCAAAATGAAAAAGCTATATGTTGTGACTCTCAAAACTATGGAAGTGAAGGACTAAGTAAGCAACCCTCAGAGACAAGACTTAATATTGGACATTTGCCATCTGCCAAAGAGAGTGCCAATCAGCACATTACAGAAGAGGAAGATGATGATCCTGATGTTTATTACTTTGAATCAGATCATGTGGCACTGAAACACAACAAAGAGTATGTGTAAATATGGTAACCATGAATTCTGCTTTGTTTATTATTCCCCCAGTTTTCACTATTTATTCATACATTCTATTCATAGTACATTTTTATTACAGATAAAATTAATGCTTTAACTAAAAGTTTTGGTTTAGCATAATGATTATTTTTAACTCTTAAAAAAAATCTGAAGACTTTAAAACTCAAGTTTATTACTCCTCCCTATGACAACACAGTTTTGCTGGTATTTCACATATACAAGAAAAGACGTAGAAACATGAATGATAGTGTTATTATTTTTTCTTAAGTTTTAAACCATTTAGGGTAATTTATAAAATGGGAACATCTTGACTTACCACAATATAATTTGTTTTATAGCTGTAGAATTTTATGTAATAATCTATTCCTTTAGATAGTATAGAACAAATAATGTGTGTGTACACATCATCCAGATATGGGAAATCTGGCAAGCTAGAAATCTCCTTTTATCTTAGTTGCTTACATTTAAATCCCAATTAAAATTTTGGTTTTAAAAATTGTGCTTTATGCATTATCTTTGATTTCTGTGACTTAGAAAATTAGATATTACTGTTAATACCATGACAGTTAATAGTATGTTATAATTAGCTCATTAGCTAGAGTTATTATCTGTTCTCTAGTTTACATAAAATTGTTTGACACAACTTTTCCTAATAGTAAATATAAGGGAAGACTATTTCAAAATATCATCACTTCTTAGTCTTTACTTAAAAAGACACTTTTCTAAATAAAGAATTCTATGTCCAAATTTTTTACAGTTTTGCTTAGAATTACTTTAAAGTATTCTGGAAAGTAACACAAGTGAATTGGAGTTAATTCTGTCTTAATAATCCTAAAAGAAGCTAAGAAACTATAACAAACAATGCTCATCATAAATACTGTGATCAACAACAGTAAAAAGCTTATTTAATAAGTTAATTACCTTTATTTTTAAATGGTAGGCTTTTAAACTTATAATCAGATTGTATTAGCTGTGCAAAAATACTTTGATATTGAGAACCCTTTCTAGTGTTTTTGTTGTGACAATTGCCAGACTCCATTATGTTCAGATCAAAGTATCAAATCCTGGTTATGGGACATGATACATTTTTGGCCATGCCTAAGAGATGATTCAGATTTGTATAGGGTAATTTGATGACCTACCTAGTAGGTTTCTTTTTTTGAAAAAAATTTTTGTTTGCTTTTAAAATAATGTTTAATACTGGATTTAATGAAGAGTTCATATTATTTGAGAGTTTTATAAATTTACTTTTAAAAAATGTTAGGAATCTCATGTATTTGAAATGTTTGAAGTCTAATTTGAGATAGAAAAACATCATAATTGTATAAATGAAAATTTAAAAACAAGAATTAAGTTATTACTATTCATATATAGTATCAATTTTTAAAAGTAGAGGTGTTTAATCTACAAATACAAGGATGCAAAACAAATTTGTTGAGGAAGTACCAAAAATGATTTTTTCTCACAGGGTCTTGCTATGTTGCACAGACTGCTCTTAAAACTTGTGGGCTCAAGTGATCATTTTGCCTCAGCTTTCTAAGTAGGTGTGCACCACCACACCTGTCTTAAAGTTTATCACCCCCAAACCTCTCTATTCTGTGGATCAAACCCAGGGGCTGGCACATGTTAGGCAAGTGCTCTACTACGGAACTACATCCCCAATTGTATAAAATGTTACTTTATTTGTTTTATTATTTGATTTTCATTGTTTCTTTCTCTTAAGTCTTGGCTGGTAGATCATCAGTAGATCTTGGAAAATATTTTTCCATTAATAGTCACTGTAGTATTTTGTAAGAGATTTCCTGATGATGATTCTAAAGAATGTGTTCCCATAAAAAATTACCTAAAGATATTGTCTATAATATCAAAAGGTGATATTCCATCTTCATCCATGTTCATCTTTAGATTAGAGCAATATGGTTTCATGGCTTCCTTCAAATATGCAGAGTCCTTTGGAATTTGTGTGTTGGTTACTTTGGACAGTATTCTCAAATTAATACTTTATTGGGTAACCTTGGGGGGAAAATCAATCACTCAATCTTGCCTATTTGCCATGCTTCAAATCTTTTGAAGATGGTACAATATGATACTTCATTTTTAACTTTTGTTTTTTCAAGGAAGAAAATTGGGACAAATAAGATGGAGAGATAGCATCATGATTAGCATATTGGTTAGAGATGAATTTAGGAAAATTGAAAGAGGGTAATTTCTTTCATTAAAGTACCTTTCTTCTCTTGCATACTCCCATTTCTGTGCTTTTTGTCTAGAACCCAGAGATAATTGGATATAATATTAGCTCTTTTTACCCAAGTTACCCTTGTTAAATAGCAATGTGATACCTGTGTCATGCTTTCAAGTCTCAAGTTTATGGCAGTTTGAAAAGTTTATAATGTTAAAAGCCATTAGGGTTTTTTTTTTTTTTTTTTTAAGGCATTTGGGGTCAGTGGATTATTTTATTTTAATAAACATGCATTAATACATACGCTGTCAAATATTTCTTTTTTCCTTAGTCTTATGCTAGAAAAGTTCTCTAGATAATTGTACTTTGAAACTGAGAATCAAGCACTGTCCAGACTAACCATGATTGTCTCTACTAGAAGGGAATGAGTAGTACTTCCTGATAGCCCATTTTAAAAATAGCTTGTTAATAGAAGATAATTTTTTGCCTAGAGGCAGGAAGCCCTACTTTACTCAGCTAAAATAAAAAATTTTCCTCTAAACTAAGTGATCATTTAACCAGCAGCCACCTATCCTGGCATTCAGCCTTTAATTTATCCATCTCATTTGCAAGGCCATCACATATAAGGTTATTTTGTGACTTGTAAATGTTTGAAAAGATACTGTGTGTTGAGTCTAATCTTAAACCCAATACATGGTAAATTAGGGTATGGGCCAGGAAAATGAACCTGCAGATACTCTGGGTACTTACCTTGTTGCCTTTTAATGTGCTATCTCTCTTTAACACATTTACCCATATTATGCTTTTATATATTAAAATGGCGAACTGTGGCAAAGAGACCAGAGAGAATCTTTTTGTGGCAGATTCCAGCTGTGTATCATTTTAGTAGATGATCAAAAGAAATACAGTTTCTCTCAAAGCTCTCTGATCTACAAGGTTGGCAGATTCTGTTAAAGTTAAATGATGCTTAGTGACTCCTTTTGTGGCCTAGAGGGCTCACTTGACTGAGATCATTTACCTAACTGTGGTTGCTCTTTCTGTTTGGGAATTGACCTTTTGCTGATTTTGAATCAGAATCCCTGAAATGGATCTCTTGAGTTTTGAAGTTCCGGCTTTAGGAAGTGCAGATATGGAAGATTTTCGGTCCTGGGCTTTAATATTCAGAACTTTTCTTTCAGTTTAGAAGGTAATCACTAGAAAATAAGTGTTCAAATGAAAATTTGATTTGGTCATTTGATACTTAATTCTCATTGTGCAACGTTATTTTTATTTGAAAGGCCTTGAATAGCTTCAGTTAAGGGTCTTTGGTATGTATTGTAATAATTCAGAGTATTGAAAAGTCAAATATAGGGGTTCTATCTAGATTGTTAGGACCTTGCAAAGAGTTAACTCATTGATAACAGATTGCTAACATTTGTACCACTATATAAATTTATCCAAATGTCTTAAGATAGTTATTGCTTATCTAAGTGTATTACTCAGATAGTTTCCAGATGAGAATGTTATTTTTCAGCCATTTATAAACACCAAATAATTACAAATTGACCTTCTGTTGTATCATGCTTACTTACTAGTTGAGAGCTATGATATTTTCATCAATTTCAGAACCTGAATAGAGAAAATTTATACTAATTTTTATAAGTTTGCTTTTTAAGAATCTACTTTTGCTATTGGTCAAAATAATTTCTTTTAAGGGTTCAGGAAAATTCACTAGGGATAGATTTCCTTAGAGAGAAAGAGCACTAGAGGAATTATTCTGCCACAGATAATTTTACATCTATATTGTAAATTATTGAAGCAATTTCATATAGTTTCTCATTTGACATAGGATAGGTGGCATTATACAATCCACATTTCCTAACTCATTAATTTAGGTTATTCATGGTATATTCACTGAGGGCTAGGGTTTAGCTCAGTGATAGAGTACTTGCCTAGCATGCCTGAGACATCCCCAGTAGTGCAAAAATGAGCAAAGTATCAAATCAGTGGAAGAAATAGGATCAAACTTCTGTCTTCTAATTCCTGGTCTGAGCTATATTTACGTACGTCATCCAGTGAGGACTTCCTCCATGGACTTTTGGGTTTCAGGGTTGAGAATCCTCATTGAGCAGATCTTGGACTCAGTTTTCAAGAATTCTTTATCCAGTGGTTAGACTCTAATTAGTCATGATGATCTGGTTTTTATCTGTCAGAGAGTCAGCATTATAGGTAAGTAACCTGCTTTATTTATTGAATGAAATAACTTTCATATTCACTGTTTTAAAGAATATCTTGGTAGTGGGTCTGTGAAGAACAAAAGTGGGAAAATTAAAAAAACTATAACCCATACCTTAACTTCAAATAAAGGGTTTGGCTAACTTGAGAAGAATATTCTGGGGAATTTTAGAATGCAGTAGTTATACTAAAGTCAGAGGTTACTAGAGTAGACTCATAACTTTCTCAACTCATTGGAGAAAATTATAGAATAGCAAGATTCAGCTCAAGTTATTTGGCACAAAGATTAATGGGAGGAGGGAGGTAGCTGCCTTAAGTATAAAATTTTTCATTTAAAAGGGATAAACCATTGAATACTCAAACATTCTGTGAATTCTTTGCCTTTTCCTTTGAATGCCAGCATCTTTTATTTCAACTAATATGAGTGATTTCTAAAAGTGATTCTTTGTTGTAATCCAAATATATTTGTACTGAAGTATAATTTAACCTTTTCTTGATTGAGGACCATCTTCGTTGACAGAGATTTTGTAGTGTTACTTCTCTGATATCATTGCCAGAATTGCCCCTTCAATTACAGTGTTTTTT